GTATTTAAATAACTAAATATTTTAAATAGAAAAATATTTAACATAACTAGATTTTAAATAGTTAAAATAAAGAAATTATGTAATAAATTAAAAAACACTTGAAAAGTAGAAAAATAATTATAACATAATTTTGAAATTAATAATAATTTAATATTTTTACATAATATTGTAAATAACTAATTTCACTCATATCAATAATAATACGAGAAAATAACTTTCAAAAAAAATAGTTATTAATAATAATTTTAAAGTCTTAATCTGTATTTATTATATAATTGTATATACTAAAATTAATATTATGGTATTTCAGTAATTATTTATTGCTTTTTGTGATAAATGTGTTTTCAATGATTATGTATAAATTTATTTTGTTTTGTTATTTAACAGAAAATTTTCAATAATTATTGGAGTTTAAACTATTATTATTGAAAATTTTAAATTTAATATATTGTACTTATTGTATTTATTGTATTTTTGTTTTATCTTATTGATTAATATTTATTAGAGGTTAAACTATTTGAGATTATACTATTTATTGAATAAGTTAATATATTTTTAGTACCTATTGTGTTTTTTTCATTATCTTATTTTCAATAATTGTTTATTTTCACTATAAAATTTTAATAATTGTTGGAGATTAAACTATTGTTATTTATCAGAGATGAGACTATTCATTTAGTTGAAATTATGTGTTCATTAGTTGGTTCGGTTCGGTTGTATGCTATTTAGCCAACCAAATTGACCTAGTCTGGTTGGGGTGTTGGTCAACTGAAACCAACTAACCTTTTGTGAAAATTGACCCACTCAAGTTGTATCGGCTTGGGTCAATTTTTTGGTTTAGTCAGTCGATTCAAAAGATTTAAACTTAAAAATTATAATTAATTTTAAAAATTATAGTGCAATTATTAAAAAATAAATTTAAAAATTAGATTTATAATATAAAAAAATTTAGACTAAGAAATATGGGAAATTTCTCACTTTTCCATATTAGAAATTATATTTAAAATATAAAATATTATATATCCATGGTTAGGTTGCTCGATTTTGATCAGTTTACAAATGGCCAAAGTGAAACTAATCTAACTTGGTCGAATTGGGAAATTTTTAATCAAAGCTAACCTAAAATACTAGAAAACCGACCAACTTAGGTCAAGTTGATCGGGTTGGTCGGTTTCATCAATTTGATGAATAAGCCTAACTGAAATTAATTATTGTTATTTTTATATTATAAAAAATTTATTAAAAGTAGTATATAAAATATGAATAATTATTAATTATTCAAAAAGTTGAAAATATAAAACAATTGTATACTCTTATGTGGTTCTATTATGGTCATTTACTAGAACACACCTTATAGTTTTACATATTTACTTAAACCTACCTTATAGTTTTCATTTTACTAAAACATCCCATATATTTTACAAATTATTTACTTAATCAACCTTTCGTTAAGGAGTGTTTGTTTTGTCATTAGGCCCATGATTTTTTATTTAAAAAATACCCTTAACACTTTTTTTTGCACAAAAAACAAAATTGACCAAATATAGCCAATAGAATGATTGCCTGTGTTTTAAAGGGCAAAAATGGTATTTTTATTTTTATTTTCTTTTGATTAAATTTATTTAAATGAACAGTAGGGTCAACATTGTCATTTTCCAATGTCATCTAATGAAAGATTGATTAAATCCATCGCAAACTATAAGTGGTGTTTTAGTAAAATACTAACTATAGGGTACACTTTAGTAAATCCATGAAACTATAAGAATTATTTTAGTAAATTACCCTTTCTATCATTTAGCTTTCGTTTAATAAATCCCGTGCATGACACGGGTCCCCGATACTTAGAGTTTATAAGCTGACTTTCTAACTTGAATTACGAAATCAAACAACACGATTTGACAGCAAGAGTGACACTTTATTTGGAATTGAAATTTATTTATTCCTTTTTCAAGTGGGACGTTGGCCATTTGTTTGAATTATTGTTCCTCTTTTGGAATCATCTTAATCTATTTAGACCATTCACTAGGACTATTGTTATCATCTCAACTAATCAACCAAATAACTCCTATCCTATTACCTAACATCTCTGGTTTGCAAACCATATCCTATTCTCATCCACATGTGTCCATATTGAAAAAAATGCTCTACCAAAGCCCCATTCTATCACAGACAAATGGTTTGGGTGGCTAGCTTTTAAATTGGGTACGACCCATTTGGTGACGACTGAAGTGATTCCATGGCGCATTACTTGGGATAGAAATTTCAATCTGATTCGTTGACTTAATTTGTTTCAAAGACAATATCTATATATGAACCCCTTCAAGTTGAAAGCGATGCTCAAGGGTTTATAGGTCACCCAACAAGGAGTTTGCAAAATCAGTTCAGTACTTGCTCAAACCAGACTGGATTTACATTTAAGAATGCTTCAGTGAATCAAACATACTGAGTTGTATACTGATGGACAAACAGAGAGAGATTGCTCATATGTACAGGGTAGCTAGAGAATTACTCATGAGTTGTATATGGTCCAACAAGTTTGTGTGTGGTTGTGAATAATGTTCTTAATTATGAAACCACATGTTCTTTAAGATTAAAATGGCAGAAAGAAAAAAAAATGAGAGAAAACAGATTTTATTTCTACTCACTCTAAGGAAATAAAATTCTCAATATTAACTGATATTTCACAAAATTAAATGCTCATCACCATCATCACAACAGATGCTTAATTACTTATAGAAATTCCTCAGAATTAAATGGAAAGAATCTCGGCTTCCATTAGAGCTTCCCACTAGGAATAAGACACACACTCTCTCTATCACCACATTGGATGATTCTTTAGAGCAAATCCTCTCCAGAAAGATATATATTCAAGTGTGAATTCTGTAAAGAATAAATAGAAGTGAATTTCCGTAATGTGTCACACAAACCAATCACACACGTTGTTGCAGTAAATTAATTACAGGTAACCTGTATAAACTTTCTGTCCGAAAGCCACTAATTAACTTTCTATCACCATTCCTCCATACACTAATCTCTATATATCTTATTAATTAGATCTATCTAATT